TTGGCGGGTTGAAATGCTTGGCCCGGCCCGCCAATTTTTGGCGGGCCAACGGGCCGGCCCGCGGGCCATGGCCCACTTTGCCATCTCTAGTATGAGATATTTGACGTTGACTTTGACCGAGTTTTGAGATATATTTTTAGTGACACTGTTGATGACACTTGTATTTATAGGGGTGCATGACATAGGCCTAAGGAGTAAGGACCCTTGTTATTATTGAGTAAAATGCTATCAATTTACTATTAGTATTTTCACGTGTTGTAGGAAGTATCACCATTCTCTTGCAACTTGGTTACCCATAATGGACTTCAGTCATGGTGTCCCTAGCTATTTGGGCTTCTTAGTGTTTTTGGGCCAAAGTGGTTTGTTTTGTTAAATTGGGCTTCTAAAGCCCAGTCTAGAACATTAAGTGTCTTTTGCAGGGATAAAATTAAAGAATTATATATTTATTTACCTTTTGATATTAATCGTTTTGAAAATGATAAATTATTAGTTCTCGAGATTGGCATAGTTGGTCAACTTAATTGGTAACATTATATAAAGGAACATTTATTTTATGATGTTTAATAATAATGGGCCTAAAGTGTCTAATGATATTAAAAGAATTTAAGTTTTAAATATTGTTAGTGTAAATATGTTTATACTGTAACTAATTAGAAATCACTTTAAATATATCTTTTAAAGCAATTATTAAAAAAAATTATATACATAATAATTTATTATTAGATGTTGATATAAAAACATTCATATTGTTAATGTATTTTAATTAAATTTTTACTACAATTAAGGATTATATTTTTTTTTATCGTGCAAAAGGTATATTGATCAAGGGCAAATACTAATCGAATCGAAAATGATTGTTTTAATAAAAAAAAGTGTTATTAATACACTTTCACCATGGTTTCCAATACACCCCAAGGTAATTTTTAATCAAAAAGTGTTATTTTTATGATTTTTTATAATTAAAGCTCTAAGGACACAAGTTAATAAGTTTGTGGATTACTAGTGTCAATTTCATGATTGAAGTATTGAACTGATGTTGGTATTTTTTTTTATAATAATATTAAGAATAAAATAATCAATGATATTTTTTTTAGAATTCACATTTATATTTTGCGAGGGAAAAAGCACTCAATGTCTCTATATATTTATTTAAAATTAAAAATAAAATAAAACTAAAAATAACAGAAGTTATATGCATTGCTTCTAATTCAAAGATGAGTGGTTTAAGAGTAATTATGAGATTAAAAAAAAACATCTTTAAAAATTGTACTCTTAAAAATGTCTATCTTTTATATATTGTTGTAGATATAGATTTGAATTAGACACAGGACCCAAAAAAGTAAAATCACATACATTATAGTAATAGAGTTCTTCATACACCTACAATAGTGAGAGGCTTATTACTAAGGGTAAACAAAAGTAGCCGTAAATGAAAAACTAATGTATTATAATTCTCTAGAGTTGGATGGTAAACGTAAATGATTTCAAGTTCAACTATTATATAATTCTCCCTTATTATTGCTGCTATCTTGTACCTATTTTATTTATATCCAAGAAAAAGGATGATGTAATTATCAGTAATAGTTAAACTACTAAGATGTTGCTATAGCATCTGGTGTCGTGGTGTAGTTGGTTATCACGTCAGTCTAACACACTGAAGGTCTCCGGTTCGAGTCCGGGCGACGCCATTTGGTTTTAAATTTTATTTTCGTTTTTCTTCCCTTCATACTCCAAATGCAAAACATGCATCTTAAATCCGTCAACATCGTTACATAAACGTCAAATTTCTAAGTTTTCATCTTTTCAAACAAAAAATTTTCACATAATTTGTGATGTGAAAATCTCATGAGTATCTATCACATTTAATAATGTCAGAAATCACAACATGATTTAAAAAAAAAAAAAACGCATGGTTCATCTTTTTCTTCATGGAGATCATTGTTCACTTCACACATAACTGATCTCAAAATGTTAACAAGTTACTTGTTCATGTAAACATGAAGGTTTCGAGAAGGTAAAAAAAACAGCTTCTTAGAAAGAAGCATAGCTACACTCATTCAAGGTGTCACTGATGGTGGTATCAGTGTCACTGCTACTGGGACTTTTCTCAATACATTGTCTGAATGGTGCACTTGCTGGGACTGACATGGAGAGATTTGTATTTGGAATTGCACAATGCGCTTTCTGCACGTTGGTTGTGGCTGAAGAGTGAGGCAACCGTGCAATGGTAACACCGGAACAAGTGGTGGTGGCGGCTGGTTTAACGTTTGCAAACCGCTTTTTAGCACCTCTGTGCATGTGTGTGGCACAGTACTTCTGACCAGGAAGAACAGCACTCTTGCACTGCCACTTCTTTCCGTCCGTTCTCCGGCACCTACCGGGTGCAGGCTCCATGTTGGTTCTGTCATTGAGGTATGAAGGATTGCAAGCTGAAACTAGAATGCCAGCAAAAAAAAGCAAGAATGTTCTATCAGCTTTCTATGATAAGTTTACCCTTAAAAGTTGCTAATAACATTTGCATACTGTTTACATGTTTTGTCAGTCAGTCTACTTTTATGCAGCTGTTGTAGCATCTTACATCAAACAGTACTTGCCCTTACTCTTACATATAGAATGTTAATAGTTGCAAATCTCTCGATGTCTCTTTAGCATAACTCTACTCATGAACTAATGTTTGGTTTGCATATTCTCCCAGCTAGAGATGTTGTAGCTTCTTTGGACATGTATCTTAACATGATCAAGACAGATATTCTCGAATAGTATAGCAAAATGCCAAGGGGCCGGGGCATGCCAAAAATAAGGGAACATTTCTGTGGAACACTTGATTCTATGCAAAAAAGACCAGCATGTATGACTATGTGCTATGTGCATGAAAGGTTATGAGCGGGATTGAAAGAAGTCCATCTAAACTAATTGAGCACACAATTATAAGAATACACTTGAAGACCATACCAATGACATGAGATTCCGAATTAGGCCCACAGAATAAGCATGACAGCAAACAAGACAGAACATACTTGCTATGGTGCTGCTATTGATTCTCCTTTGTTTGTAGGGATTGGTAGGACCATGGGAAACTATTAAGGAACATTTGAGCTACATGAGACTTCATGATCAAGTCTGTCATGGGAAACATGACATGACTCTGTCATGTCACTGACCCCACTAAATGGGAAAGGTTTGATTAGTTTTTTTAGTCATGTAATCTTCTAGTCCTAAAAAATATAATGACAAATACAGAAATTGTCGCAACCCCACCAAAATTACCTTGAAGAACACTCCTTGGGGAGAAGCCTATTCCAGTAGAGATGCCATTAGTATCACCAACAATGCTTCCTTTCCCACCACTTCTAACACTGATGTTGTTGCTGATACAGCTCTTGGATTGGTCATCTTTCTGGCATATCTTCAAGCAACTTTTGTTATCTGAAGCAACGGCCGCCACTGCCACTGTGCTGAAAGTGGCCACCACCTTAGGAGCAACTGCAGTGGCAAGAGTGGAGCCAGAGCATGCCATAGATGCTGAAGAAATCGGCGTGAGGTACTCAGCATAACGTACAATGTTTTTCGACCTATTATTAGCAGAAGAGCAATTGGCAACACGGAGGCTCCTTGGTGTGGCACTTGAAGGCGTGTCATAAGGTTGAATGGCCTTACGTTTTGGATTTGAAATTTGGAATTGTGTCCTTGAGGCTGGTTTGTTAATGGTATGTGACTTGTTAGAAGGCTTTGTTGTCAAACAAGAGTTAGCTTGAGATGTTTCCACAGGCTTTCTTGAACGGTTTCGACCTCTATGCATGTGCCTTTCACAGTACTTCTGACCAGGCACCACGTTCTTACCACACCTCCATTTCTTTCCATCAGTTCTCCTACACCTATGAGGTTCTTGATCCAGCATGTTCCCATGATCATAACCCAGGAAACTGTATTCTGTAACCGAAACACATGAACAAAAAAAAGAACCATCATTATCTTACAATTACATGAAGCCATATTTTTTTTTTAATCCATCATAATAATTACATGACAACAGTTCAAACCTAGGACATGCAGTGTACATACTACATAACCAACCCCACCATTAGGCCGAAAATATGCTTTTAAGCAACAAAACATAGAAATTTGGCTTACCTTTGAACATATCAAAATCACAAAATGGATCCTTACACTAATTAAATCCTTTAAGCATTTGCCCAAATCTTGGAACCAAACAAAACATAACTAGCCCCAAAAGAAAGAGGTAGTAATTATTTAAAAAACAGAATCAAACATGAAACTGTCTCATACTACAATAAACAACAAAAACAACTTCAGTGAAGAAAAAAAAAAGTGAAACTTCATTATGTATATAAAAATAGAAAAAGAGCAAGATCATATAATACAAACCTGGCATATTGGACGGGAATTGAACAAGGTGATGAGGAGGAGAAGGTTTATAGGCCAAATGGTTGAAGATGAAAACTTGATGGTGAAGCTCACGCCTCTGAGCTTCTGTGATCACTTGTGGTTGTGGTGCAGAATGAGCATCAACCCCGAGGAGAAGTCCAACAGTGGAACAACAAGAGTTCTCTTTCTCCTCTTTGACCATAACAACCCTCTTTCTCTGATGAACAACACCCCCATCTTCCATCGCGTGTCCCATGTCAATCTTCTTCTGGGGTCCACCTCCTACCCTCAAAAAAGACACAAACATCAGAACAAGAAGAAAATTTAAATAATAAAAAAAAGTACTAAAGAAGAAGCATGTGGTGATGGGCAAAAGAAGAGAAAACCGGAAGTGTTGTGTGAAGAGGGAACAATCCGAAGAGGCTTGGCTTCCATAGTCACATTCACATGAGAGCTTTTTTTCCTTTTTTTCTTTAGAGGGTCTGTGTCTGATGAAGGAAAAAAGGTTCTTTTGTTACTTTTTCAGTGTGAATAAAAAAGTGTTAAAAAGAGATTTGGGCACGGAAGTGCTTCTGCAGTGCCTCCATTAACTTCTATTGTAAGTTGGAAGGAGAAGTGAAGTGAGAGAGAAGGAAGAGAGAGAAAGTTGTGTCAGAATTTTCTGACAAACAGCTTATTACGTTGCAAGGCTTTGCAGGAGTCACGTTCAGACAAAAAACTGAACCTTACGTTATACACTCTTGTTCAACATTGTTAGGCGCGTGTCTGTGCCTCATCTCTTTTATTTATTTATTTATTTATTTATTTATTTAATAGGAGCCAAAACACATTTTCTATATATTTAATAAAATTCTAGGCTTAAAACTAAATTGAATTAACCCTCACTAATTCAATCTTTTATTCTTCGGTTATCTCTATTCTTTACCAGACTATTCATTTCTCATTTTTCAAAACACTTTTTTTTATTAATTAAAAGAGTAAATTATCAATCTGGTCTTTCATTTTATAGAATATATTAAACTCTAACATTAAAAACATAATAAATAAACCTCTCTCTTTTTTATTTTGTTAATCTTTTTAATTCATGTCCCAAATGATAATGACATCAAATTTGCATATGTCAAAAACCAAAATGATAATAAATCATAAACGATGGAAAAATACCGAAAGTTCTAAAACTTTTTGAATATTAAGAATTAGTATGACAAGAATTACTCTGATCAACATAATAAAAGGAGGGTTGTGCTAGTTTATACATATCCGACATTAAATTTAAATATTGTCATAAATGACATCGATTTGTATATTATAATACAAAGCATAATCAAATATAATTTAAATTATACTTCATTATGATGGTTATATAATTAAATATTTATAAAATTTATTTAGATATAAATTATAAGTGTTTTTAAGAACTTTTTTTTAAAAATAAAAAAATTATTTAAACTATTTATAAATTTGTATTTAAATAGACAAAAATGTATATTTAATTGCGATATCTGACTTTATTTTTCACATCAATATGGAAACAACACATTGTAACTTCTGCATAAAATATCAATTTGACATGAAAAAATAAAAACCAAACACGCTCTCGTATATGGCTACATAATCAATTGTATTATACCATAGTCAATTATCTATATTATTTTATTTATTCTAAAAATAAATTTTAGTATATTTATTTTATTCAATAATTTATGTTTTATATTAAATTTTAACCATTCAATTAATAAATTAAAAGTTCTTAATAATATATAAATTATTTAAAAATTAAAAATTATTTGATATTTTATTTCATTAATTCAAACTGATAAATAAAAATGTTTTATACGTTGAATTTAATTAAAAAAACTATCAAATAGTTTTTTAATTTTTTAATATTTTGCATACTTGATTTATGCAATGAGAATTTTTAATCTAATGATTAAATTGTTTAAATTTAATGTAAAACACGAATTATTGAGTAAAGTAAGTGTAGGTAAACTTACTATTGGGGTGAGTTTCTTACTTGACTCAATAACTCATGTTCTTTACATCAAATTTTAATAATTTAATAGTTAAATTAAAAAAATTTAATACATAGATCAAATCTATACATTTTAGAAAAATATTAAAACTATTTGATATTCTATTTCATTAATTTAAATTAACAGAAAACCACAAAAATATTTTATAGGTTGAATTGAATTAATGAAACAAAGTATAGTTTTCAGACTTTTTAAAAATTTGTAGACTTATGAGGAGAGATCAAATGACTCTAAAATTAACTCTTGGTAAAGTTAATTCACCCAATAATTTATGATATATGTTAAATTTAAATGATCTGATCATTAAATTAAAAGATTTTAATAAATAGATCAAGTTTACCAATTTTAAAAAAATTTAGAAACCATAAAATACTACATTTCATTAATGTAAATTAAAAGATAATTATAAAAGTATTTATATGTTAATTTGAATCTATATAACAAAGTATTATATGATTTTTAATTTTTTTTAAAAATTGATAGACTTAATTAATACATTAAAAAAATTTAATTTAATGATTAAATAATAAACACCATGAATTTAATAAAAATGGTTATATATATATATATATATATATATATATATATATGAGAAAGTGATAGAGAAATAATCTAATTATAATAATAATTAATAAAAAAAATAATTTAAAAATATTGTATATTTTTTTTACAAACAGATAAATAAATAATTTTTTACAAGTACAAATATGAATCGGGTATACCTAATATCTAATAGGAATGTGGATGAGAATGAAAATAATATACCCGACAAATACGGGTACAAATACATAGATAAATTTGAGTTGTGAAAACAAGAACAAAAGCAAGTACAAGTATTAAAAAACCATATTCAATCCGTCCTATTGCTATCCTTAGAGGTGATAAGTGACATGGCAAAAGGGTGGGTGGACACAGGTTTTCTTTTTCCAGTTTTGACAGACACTTGCACTGTATTAATGTATTTGTTAAGACAATAGCTGAGAAATTAAGCCGAATAGGTAAAATTATAGGTGATAAAAATGGTTATATATATATATATATATATATATATATATATATGAGAAAGTGAGAAAGATAAATAAGTAACTGTCTAAATAATTTCTTCATAAATATTTAATTCTATAAATTTCAATTTAAAAAGGTTAACTTTCTTTTTAATCTAATTTCGCTCATAAAATTTCTTTTATTTTTGACTTATTTTTATTATATTATTTTTCACTTATTCTCTTTATTTATTTTTCTTTTCTTTGACAAAAGATAAAGGTGACACTCATAATTTCTTTTTCCTCATCAAACAATTTTCTGGTAACTGCGATGACCGTTCATAGGGATTTCCGTTATGGGGGCACTTGCTTAGTTGGCTGTTCAAAACTGATTATAAAAAAATCAAAATTTGGATCACATTTATCATAGAAAAAACTGAAAAATAAGATAACATTTTTCAAGTCAGCTTGACTCAATTAATTAATTATTCTTATTTGTTAAAAATGGAGTTTATTATAGATAATTTTAATATATAATTCCATATTTTATGTAATCTTTTGTTACTATGTTATTTATTGTTGTATAAATATTATTTTTTTTATAAAAGAAATATATCTCGTCTTATCGTTATTAAAAACACAATTTAGAAAGAATTGGTGATCATTTTCATAAAGTATTTTAAATTTTTATAAAAACATTAATTTTTATTTTTATTTTATGTCCCTATTAAAGTTTGTGAGAGTATATGTTTTTCCTTTTTATCTCTTAAATTCTTTAATTATTATTTATAATTTTTATTGGTATCGGTAGAGATGAAAACACGTTAGATCCTAAATAAGGGATCTATGATCTTGTAACGACTTGATAAATTACTACTTTTGCTACAATTCAGCAACACAACGAAAAAATAGAACAACATATATCTACCTAAGGTTATAATGTGACAATTATTTAGATATCATGCACACAAATATATGTAATGAAATAAAAATAGCAACAATGTTCATGTACATATATAATACATAGACAAGGGAGTAAATATTGTATACAAAATAGGCCCTACAAGTCGTCCCGCTAATCATGTCTTGCTCTTATGAAGAATCATGATCATTATAGTTCCAACTACATGAAAAACACAATGTAAGCTTCTGAAAAGGAAATAATATATAAACACAATGCCAACATCAAATACACAACATACAACATAGTACAATAGAATCAACTTCATTTTAGCAACATATTCGACATAAATAACGATAAACAACTGAATGCATCGTCACACCTATCAACTATGGAGATCTTCTACAACTTGTTACACCTACAACTATGGAGATCTTTTACAACTGAGGTAGACAATTTAAGTGACTAGACCCTATCGAATCACAATGGTTGGTATAAATCAGAAACAACGACGGACACTTAGGCAAAAAACAACGACTAGCGTAAAGCTAGAAGCAAAGACTGGCATAAGTTATATAGATTTTTCAAGTTTTGTCACTTAAACTAGGAAGTCTAGTATTACTGTCAGGGTAAAATAACTTGAGTATGATTCTACCACAGTATTAGTTTGCAACACTAAGTCTATATGGGATTAACCCATTAAATACCCTCCAAGTACTACACCTCTCCAATATTAGGTTAGAGACTAAGTCCCCTACCAAGTATTTTACTCGATTGATTATTTATACATGTATGTCTCGACTTCGTCTACATACGAATACCACACAAAACCTAGAAGAGACAATTGAAAATAACTTATCCATTCAATCGGACTCTTGGAACATCACAACATATATCCATACAAAAAGATATTCAATTTTGAAAACTTTATTCCCCTCTAGTTTTTATGTATAACAGCTAAGACATATATCTTAATCACATGCCAATAGCTTATCAACTTAACATCATACAAATCTGCAATGTATTCAACTTACAACATCTCACAGCGTGTACAACTTATTCATAAATCATCTTATAACTTAACAACAAAAATATCATCAATCATGCACTAACTTACATCGTTTCATCATCATACCTCATCATACATATAACTTATTCATCATCATTTAACTACAAAACATCTTAGACAACACAACATTCATCATGCAACTTGCACTCGATTACTCAAGGGCTACCTGATAACATTGAGGTAGGGGACTCCCTATCTAACATGGTAACGATCCACATCCGACCTCACGCTAACTTGAGACAATTATCTCTCTTTGTGTCCGATGCTATTCAAATCACACCCAACACTAGTTCAACCTAAGATAATTCTCTCTCATCACGCCAATGCCATCGATCATGCCTCTAGCATGAGCAAGACAGAGTGTCACTAATTGAATCACATCCTATGCAACATCAATTTTGCACCTATGTAGAACTCGAAAATCATTTAATATACTTGAAATTCAACCAATTCCAAACATACAATGTATAAAACAACATGCAAACATCATGAACAACTTGAAAACCATCTCATTTACAACATGCAACTATGATCAACCAAGATTCAACATTTTCACTCATACACCACTTTAAGAGCTAAAAACTCAAACAAGCTGCATGAAATGCATCTTCATTAGAATCAACCACACTTAGGTGGTTTTAAACAATAACAAACTACACATGCAACATAGATCATTCAAGTCATAGACTTCCTTTACCTCTT